CTTATAGATTATGCCAGCTACCCACCCTGGGTAGGTATAGCACTCACACCACAAATTCCAATGCTAGACAACAAGCCAATCACAAATGCTAGATTCAGCCACCTCCATGACTACATGAAGCTTGAGGGGCCATCTAAACATATACTATAATGACTACAGAGTTACTATGATAAAAATATAATGGTACTGGCAAACAAACAAACCAAAGGACCAGTGGAATACATTAGAAAATGCAGAAAGAAGTTTTTTTTAAAGTATGAAATTTGATTTTTTAAAAAACTATATTTTTTACTAAAAAAACTAAAAGTTTTTACAAAATGGGATTCACATTAGCATAAGAGAAAATTTAGCTAAAGATGGTTAGTGGTTGCCCTCTTTAAAGGCATGAATGTCTCTTTTTACTAGGAGGCCTGCAGATTTCAGTTTGAGATTCCAGATCCATGTGGTGAGAAAAAAACCATCCATAAAACAATAGCAATAAAAAGTATAAGATAATAGATGATGCTAAGGAGATGAGAGGAGGTCACTGAGAGTGAGGTAGTAAAAAAGAAAATTAGGGACTAGGGATTTAGCTCAGCGGCATAAGCGCCTGCCTTGCAAGCACGCAGTCGTGAGTTCGATCCCTGGTACCAATTAAAACGAAAAAGACAAAAAAGAAAATTAATAACAATTTCTTGTCTTGAGGTAGATTTTCAGTAAGTACAATATTTTAAGAGACAGAAAAGAAATCCAGATGACGGAAAAGTAGACTATGAATGTGAATAGTCCTACCTGAATCATTAACCAATACAATCTCAGCTTCTATCATGATGTCTTGAATTATGCAGATAATTAGGAAAAGTTCATGCAAAGGAGAACAAGGTAATAAAAAATGTGTCCTAAGGATGATATTCTGAGACTGGGCCTCAGAAAAAGGCAAACAACAATAATCAAGGCAAAACTAGAAACTAATAGAATATTCTATGTATTTGGTAAGAGCTTATGGTGCCAATATTCAATATGTGGAAGGAAAAGACAAATTAGTTTCACCTAGCCCCAGTGAGGAACACAGTGTACAGAGAATATATGTTCCCTTTAAAGGAGGGAGAGAGTAGTTTATTAACTCCAGACAATTGTTGTCAGGAAGGAATGTTGACTCAGTATCTTCCAACTATTCAAGAGAAACTGGAATTCTAGAGTTTTAACTAAAACCTGATTTTGAAATGTTGAGAATCATCAGTTTTTAAAAGTAAAAGAATGGGTAAACTGACATACTGCTATAGATGGAACTGTGTTCCTCCCAAATTCTCTATGTTGAAGCCTTCAACTCAGTTTGATAGCACATGGGAAAAGGACCTTTCTGTAAGTATAATTAGGTTAAGTGAAGTCATAAGGGTAGGGTTGTGATCTGATAGAATTAGTGCCTTTATAAGAGGAAACGTCAGAGCTGGCTTGCTCTCTCTATCTCTCTCTCGGTATGCAAAGATCAGGTTAGTATGTACCAAGGAGGTAGCCATCCAGAAGTCAGGAAAAAGAGACTTGTCTTAGTTACTTTTCTCCTAGCTGACACAAAATATCCAATGCCCAAAGTCAAGGGAAAAAATTTTATTTTGGCTCACAGTTTGTAGAGGTTTCAGTAAAGAGTAACTGCCTCCAAGGCAAAGTGGCTTGGCAGAGGGGCATCACAGAAAACAAATAGTTCCAAGAAAACAGGCAAATGAGAACAAATTAGCCCTCTTTCTCTTCCTTGTATTTTATATAGGCTACCTGTCCTATGGTGGGTGCAGCACACAGACCCTTAAATCTAGCTAGAACCCTCCAAAGTAATCAGTGGACTGATTTAATATTCACACACTCTTGATTCCAACAACACACTTTAGATCCAGCCACCTCTGAAAAGCCCCATCTATGACTGCATAAGGCTGTGGGGGAACATAAACACAAACCAGAACAATCCCATACAAGAATCTGACTGTGCTTATACGCTGATCTAAGTCTTCCAGTCTTCAGAACTGCAAATAAAATAATTTTCTATTGTTTAAGGAATTCAGTAGTGAGCAGGGTATGATGATGCATATCTAAAATTCCATTGGGGAACTGAATTTGAAGCCAGCTTGAGCTACCTAGAGTTGAAGGCTAGCCTGAAATACATAGTATGACCCTACCTTAAAATAAAAAAAGAACTCGGCAACATTTTGGTATGACAGCACTATTCCTTTAGTAAATTATTTATAAAGTTTTGATTGCTATTACAAACAACACCACCAGAGTTAAGAATATCATAAATGTCAATCAGCAGAAGACAGACTTAAAATTTATGGCTTATCTATACAGTGAAACTATGCAGTCACACAAAAGAATGAGGCATTTTTAAACGTGTAGTGCATGATAGAAGAATAAGGTGAATGTTTAAATTTTTCAAAAGTTATTACAGTAAAAGCCATAGTAGAAGCTAATTTATTTCCCTTAGACTACTGCTTCTGGCTTCAAATTTATCCATTCCTTCATTCTTGTCACTTTCTGAAGCAGTTCTAAAAAGCCTCTTTTGTAAGTGTCTTCAGTTTAGCTATTGGGGCAGCCTCCATATTCTGAATCATCTCAAAATGTTTACATTTCATGGTGATTTTGATTTTGGGGAACAACTGGAAGTTGCATGGCATGTGATCAGGTGGATCAGTTGGGTAAGAACATACTGCAATATTTTTATTTGACATCTATTTCCATAAACATTTTGAATCAATTCAGATCACCATGAACTTCAGAAAGTGGCAATAACAAGGGGATAAGTGCACTCACAGCAAAAGAGTGTATTGTGAAGAGAGTCAACATGGGTTTTTTTTGTAAAAAAAAAGTTATAAACATTTAAACACAAACCATACTTTTTGATGTGTGTACAAAGAAACATTTCAAAGTATATTTTTAAGTAGATAAGGCAATTGTAGAACAATGCAATTTGTTAATATTTGTACATAAGAGGCAGATAAATACAGTATTTATTAATTGATATAAATTGCATATCCCAGGAAAGACTCCTAATAGGAATCTTGCTAAATGAATTATATATCCAAAGGCCATCTTCACTTAACCAGTTAAGCAAGATCATAAACTACAAATGACTCAGGACAAAGGCGAATATATAAGTGTATCAAATAATGATAATGTCCCTGCCAGAATGAGAAAGGATGAGTGATTGATGACTACTATCATCAGATAAAGACAATCTTAAAAGATACTTGACAACTTCACTAAGCTTGATAGTCTGATTTGGAGACTTCAGAAAGCTAAGGCACTAAGAATCTCATCTTGGAAAGGCATATGCTAGAACAATGAGGATGGTGTTGGTAACCTAGTTCATCCCCCCCCCTTTTTTTCCAATGTATGCTGAAAGCATAAGTATGAAATATCTGTATTTCCCCAGGGCTCTGAAAGTAGAGTTATTAACTTACTTACACTTGAGAAAGGATTGCATAGTCATATTTGTCATTTTTATTTTGAAGTTATATTTCTACTCTTATGTTTTATAAAAGCCTGTCCGCTCTCTAAGCAAATCTAGAGACACTGTTCCCAGCCTGTTCTCTGGGCTCTCAACATTTACCAGGGATTAGCATTTGTCTCATAAATGTTGTCTCAATACTCTTAAGATTGGGACTCATAAATGAATGAGGTCATTTATGAATCACCGGTTTCTGTTATACAAAGGTTCTTTAGGTTATATTTTCCTGGTTAACTTGTTCAAAAAATTAAAGGAAAAGCAGGTTAGTAGCTTTTTTTATTAGAGGTGATTAAGTTCACTGGGAACAATGTTAAATTAGAAGCCAATAAAACCTATGCTGTAGCCTCTAAGCTTTTAGACAAGCTAATTTGATCCATCCAGGTCTCCTTTCATTTCATCTGGACGGTATTTTAAAGGAAAGTACTAATTCTATCAGCAGTGTTGTAGAGAAAGAATTCCAAACAGAGTAAGAAAAAGAAGTGAAAGTAAGATTATGCCAAGCAATCTCTGCGAAAAATATTGTATTTCAGCTACCCAAATATCTTTTAAAACAATTATTAATGTACATTCTATAGATGAAGAAAGGTAATGCCCAAGGTAATTACTGATTCAAAGGAGATCTTTGTGTTACACCAAACCATCACAGTCTCTACTAGTTTAAAATCCAAATTTGGAAATTATTCGAGTTGCCCAGTCATTATTACACTGAATGACAGGAAAGTGTTTCATAATTTTTTTCCTCACAATAAATCCAATACCAAAGGAAATAAGACATTCCTTTTACCACCTGTTTGGATACGATTTATTTTCCCCCCAAATTCTCAAGGTCCACAAAAGACAGCTCCACCAAGAGGGTGAGCAAGTCCACTAGCTTCAACAATCACAGTAATTCTGTCCAATCTTTCCCTTACACAGAGAACCGATGGCCTTGGCCAGGTTTTAAAGGGCCTGGGCAGGGCCTAGGATTGGGCTTCCTCCTCCTAACAAGCTAAGCTCCTCCTTAAAGAACTGGCAAACCCAAAGCAGTTTGCCCCCCGCGGCTCCATCCAGGATCTCAGAATCCTAATTTCCAATAACCTAGGCTACTATTTGCCCCTCCTCCCTCTTTCTAGAAGCATCTCTAAACACCCCCTACTGTTTAGAGATGTTATCTGGATGAATAGCCTTTTGAATCTTGTTCCCTGGCTGTGAATTTGTGTGGGGTGAAGTCCGAGACAAACCTCTCTGCTTAAGTAGGATTGAGAGCACCGAACCAGGTCATAATGAACTAAACAAATCCATCTACTTCTTTTTTCAAACCTATTTCATTCACTTCTTCAAAAAGCCTGCCAAAAAGTGCCTCCACTCCTTTTTAGTCCCTTTTGGCTTAATTTTTAATGAAGTCATTTTGCAGTGAATTTCATTTTATTTCAGTGTTTTTATCCTTCCGCTGCTACTCCCCTTGCTAAAACCCAAAAATAAGTGGGTGGGGGTGGGGGGACTTAGGACAAAATGAGAGTGGGTGTGTTCTAATCTCTGTGTCACTTACCGCCCTTGTTTCTAGCCGATGACTCCTGAAGTGTCTGAAGATCATGCAGTCCTCCTGTAGGTTCATATTCCCGAACTAGTCGCTAGACAGCTGTTAGACTCACAGCCGCCCGTCTTGATAGCGTGCCAGGCTACGTTCTCGGGCTTTCTCTTTCACGGCCCCCCACCTTTCCTTTTTCTTCCGGCTAGAAAATGAGGAAGGAGAAAGAGTCTCCTCAGACTCAGCTGGCCCACCCTCAGAACAGGAAAACAAAGCTCTCTAGCATCCAATCCAAAAATCAGAGCTCTCAGAGACAACCTCCTAAAAAGAAACCACCCACCGAAGTCTTTCCTCAGCTAAAAATCAAGTGGGTTCGCCTGGCTGTAGAGGGCAACGCTGAAGATCCTCCGTTCCAGTTTTACCTTCACCAATTCAGTTCCGGCCAAGCCCACTCCACCCAGCCTCTTAACTCCGCACACCCTTGAAAAGAAGGCGGAGGCGGGGCCTAAGAAAACCGCCCAGAACCTGAAAATAGTATTAACACAAAGTTGAAGAGAAGAACTCATCCAAGACAGGAACCCAGGACGAAAGGTATCAGGAGGACTCCTTCAAAATCACGGCGGCAGCCCCAATTCCTTCCTAAAAGGAAAGAAGGGAGGAGAAAATGCCAATGATTGGTCGTTACACTTAAGAGAACACCCAGGAGAACGCCCAGGACAAGAGCTTCAAGGAAAAACAGAAGCAACTATTTGCTTGTCCTGTGGGGCGGGGTTTCTTGGAGGCTTCCAGCTGTCCCACTAGGGATCTCTAGGCCCACACAGGTTGGAACGTGAGGTGCTCTCCAGGCAAACTGAGTGAGGTGATTTCGTCTTTCTCCGCCCTGGCTAGGCCAGAAGAGAGGTGTAACTAAGGTAAGGACTCCACCTAGGTAGAGTTCTTTAAAAGGCACCTGGAGCCGCTGAAGAAGAAAGCAAACTAGGAAGAGGTGGAGAAGGGTGGGGCTAAAAAGGGGGAGGGAGAGGAAAGGGAGTGGGGCGGGGCCCTGAGCAAAGAGAGTTCTGTCTCCAGCGGCAGCTGGCACAATTGCAATCATTTTCGCTTCCTTATCCATCCCAGAAAAAGGCTTAATCACCTACCTATGCGGATTATGCATTCTCTTGAGGAGGAAGAAAGTGGTGTGAGGATTGAGGCCCGGGGATGTACGGGAAAACAGGGAGGAGAAAAGGGGAAAGAATACAGTTGGCAAATAGAAACAGTATTTTCCTTTCTAGCTTTCCACAGTTCACCAGCAAAGACATCCAGAACTAGGTGTGTTCTCAAGGAGGAGGCTAAGAGGAAAAGAGTTTGGAGCTCGGTACATTTTCTGAGAGGTAAGGGAAGGAAGGGAAGGTGATGAAGTGGGTTACTAAGGAGGAATTCAAGATGAATTGCAAATATTATTATGTGACACAGCGGGAAGATTTAAGACTTTTTCAGTCTCCAAGATACCATAGCTCTAAGAATAGAGCTATCAACTCTTTGAGATAGCCTCTCAGTCAGGTATTGACTAAAATTTCCCTAGTGCTGAATTCAAGAGGTGGGAGCCAAGGACAAGAATTTCTTGCTTATTTTAATGGGATGTCTGAAAGTGACCCTCAACCAAGGCTCCTTTTCAGGGCCTCTTCCTTAGCCAGACTCTTTTAAGGGAGGAAATAAAGGAGAGAAGAGAAACAAAACAGAAGAAGAGAGGGAGAAGGGAGGTAGGAGAAATAATAATAGCTACCACCTAATATGGGCAATTCAGTGTACCAAGTGTTTTTCCATTCATCATTTCTGTTTATTCTTAGTAACAACTCTGGAGAATATGTATTATTATACTCTCTGTGTCCCTTTTTATAAAATAAAAAATGGAGGGGTATTGACCAGTATTTCTCAATAGATACGCCCAGTTGTCTAGTTAGTATTTTTGCTTGAATGACTTCTAAGTATCTTATTTTTCCCCACAAACACATCCTTTTCTTCCTCCTTTGGTAGTTCATCAGCCACCTAAATGAGACCACCATGAACCCCAACATTCAAGGGAACGCCCTTTAATCTGCTATGATCTGCCCCTACCTACCCCCTCCAGCCACAAAGCTTTTACTGCTCTCTTATGTTTTACCTCAGCAAATCCCTGAGCAAACCCCTGAGAATCCGAGGCTGTTTCTGTGCCCTAATGACTACTTTTTCAATCTGAAATGACCTAAATATTTTGCTCACCTTGAATGGATTTACTCAAAATCATACTCCCCTTACTTAATTCCTTCAGGCAAAATTGACCACTGTTTCCTCTATTCTTTCTCCACAGGACACATGGTTCTTGATACAATTGCCTTCCCTTATTAGATTACATAGTCTCTGAGGTTATTGTTATAATTTCTGTAAGTTGGATGCCAGATTGTTGTTATGCATTAAATATATGCCAAGCTCTATTTTCAATCTCATATATATTATTGAGTGAAAGTTTTATGAGCAGATATTGCTACCATCATTTTACAAATGAGGAAACCAAGGTACAGAGATAAAATAGCATCCTTATGTATATGTTGCATGAAAAAATGTTCCTGTCATAGGTATTCGATAAGTAACTTCCTATTTCCCTATGCCATATCTCTTTCCAATCACTGCTTCACCAATGCTTAGTTGACAAAATAGATGCATTAACATGAGAAACATATAGGTAAATGTATAGAACTCTCTACACATTTCTTTAAAAAGAATCATTTTATCCTTTAGAACTTCAGTTACTTAATGTATAAAATTTGGGGAATGGTACTCAATATACAATTTTTACTACTCCAACTAAAGTTATTTTCACTAATACTGGAAATTTTTAAATTGAAGCGTGTGAAAAGCATTGGATTATTTATGAAAAAAATAAATGCATGTTTGTGATGTGCAAATAACTAGTAAAATTAAGAGTACATTCTATAAGTCTATATCTAGACTGGGTGTGTCATATGTCATTATGGGTTACTTCAATCTGGAAAGGTTTCTCAAGAAAACCTATACATATGCAGGTAGCTAAACATTTTGTATTCTTTGATACTGTGATTTGAACATTTCATATTCTTTTAAAAGTTTTTTTCTGGTTAAGTGATTTAATTTTTGTTAGACTCGGTTTTGCGGGATAGAAAACATGATCCCAGATAGCAAATCGAAACTTAAATTATTGAACTTCAACAAAGCAAATTTGAATTCTTTCTCATCCAATTTTCCATTCATTTCATCAATATCAAGACCCATGATAGGAGTAGGGGGGGATGAAAACATTCATTCTCTCTAAGAGACTCCAGTATGGAAGCCCCAGGTTTCATAATACTTAGCCTATATTAATAGACTATCACATTTTCTGAGTCTTTAGAGATGTCCTCTGTCTCACTCAAATTAGGACTCAAATTAGGACTCAAAATGACTCAGGGAAATCTGTACCTCATGACCACAGTGACTGGCAAAGACAGGAATTTTTCTTTATTATTTGTTTTTGTTTTTTATAACCAGCATGTGGTTAAGTTGTCTATAACATATGAAATGTTGTGAAGGAGCAGATACTGAAAAAATGAATTTCTGATCACTTTTCTTCTCCTAGGAAGCACCACAAGGCCTCATGTTTTTAGCTGATTTAAGAAACAAAAAGCCAAAGAGCAAACAGCAATATCTTCAACCTCTTTCATTCCACCCTAAGACCAAGAAAGAGTGACTTCTTGCAGCAACAGTCTATACTTTCCCCTATTTACCTCAAAAATCAGAAGATAAGCATCAAATTACATGTCACACCCAATGATAGATTGTTGAGAAATATGCACACTCTTAACTGTCAAGGTTTATAAAGTGCAGCTTTCTTTACTCCTTCTTTATCCTTCTGCTTCTTCTTTCCCTCCTAAATCTTACACACTGCCAGAATGGACCCAATCTTGACTCCACCTCCCAGTATAAAGATAACAAAAGTTATTTAAAATAAAAAGCAGACTTGAAGAGTTGACCTGGGGAGAGGGGTGTGTTCAGATTGGGAGCAAGTGAAGCAAAGTGGGAAGAACAGAGGAGAGTTAAGTGTCCTTCAGGCCTGGGAAGGATAAAGAAGTCAAACACTATGAACAATAAATATCTGCATTCTTAATTCATGTTTCTGAAATCAGTGCACTGCTCTGACCTAGAAGAAACAAAATTGTTCACTTTATCAATTTTTGCTTGCTTTGTTGTGACCCAAAGGCCATATTCCCTGTAGGAGCGCTGCTAGAATCTGTTGCCCCTCTGCCAATATTGTACATATCCTGGAGTACAGCATTAAATTTAATGCCTGGAAAAGATAAAGATATATTGGACAAGAAAAGCTAGCTGGAAAAAGATTGTGAGAATAGACTTAGTTTACAAACTATGCCATATTGGATGCATTTATATATGCCTCTACTTCTTTGTATTTTTGTTTGCTTGTTTTATTTTGTTTTCTTTACTTTAGGTTTTTTTTGTTTTTGTTTTTTGTTACCAGCAATCAAATTTCCAATTTAGCACTTGCCAAACAGGCATTGTGCTGTTGAGCTATATCCCTGGTCCATGCCTCTACAACTTTAAATACCAATATTCTCACCTGTTGCCTTTTCAGAGATACTGTTAGAAATTCAAAGAATTGTCAAAAACAGTAAGTATGATGCAGAGGTAGCTTTATAGTAATATTAATGAATTTAGGCTTTAGGTCCCTTTTCCAAGACTTTGGAAAGAATAAAATATATTTTTCATAGAAAGGGTTCCCATAGTTTAAAGTTTCAGCCTCCACAAAACCTGTATCAGTTTCTGATGAGATTTGAGCTTACAAACCGCAGTGCCTGCAATACATGAAGGAAGTTTTCATAAAGGTTATTATTAGTAGTATTGGCAGCTATGAAAAGTATGAACTTTAAGATTCTTTCTGATCATAGATATAAGGATCATGCTCTTTGTTCCTAATAATCCCTATATATATAAATAAACTAAGTCATAAAAATAAGAACTAAACTGCTTGCTCACATTGGGAGGAATGGTTAAATTTAACTTAGGAATAACCAATAGTTCAGGGCCATACAGCCAGAGTTTGAAGCTATCCTGGCACAGTATTATTTCCTACAAGTGATAGCAGGCCTACTAACTCCTATAAGTTATGTTGTGCCTTGGGCTGCTTATTTTATGAGCAAAGAGCTTGGCTAGGGTGTGTGTGTGTGTGTGTGTGTGTGTGTGTGTGTGTGTTAATAGGAGGTTGGGTATACATAGATTTTTCCTGCCATTTTAGACCCTAGAAGCTACCATATCAATAAATTGGAAGGAGGAAGAGACTTTATAATAGAAAGCAAGACAAACCTGAGAAACCTGTAACCTCAGTTTCACCTGCAGAAAAGGGGTAACATCCTTGGCTTTCTCTCCAAAATATACATGAATGGATCATTTGAGTGTACTGTTGAGTGAACCAAGCAAAGACATGCATCTTACTTTTCATATTAAACAAATAAAGATATGAGGCAGTTTAAGGAAATGTATAAATAGAACAGGAAATCTTGTATTACTGAACTAATCTAGAGAAGTGGTACCCAAAAGCCCTAAAGGGAAGGTTTATACTTATAGATTTTGTGTTACTTACCACAAGTAATTCTCACTTCCTCATCAGAGGGGTGCTGTCCATCTAACTGCTTTCTCCCAGAGCAAAAGGAGATTTTCCTTTACCCTTCTGTCCAGTTTAGTCTTATCACTTCCCTCAGAAAGTAAAAGTGAAAAAGGAAAGAGGGAGTATTTTTGATGATTTCTTACAATCTTTCTGCCAGTGCATTTATTGAAATGTTGCCATTTTATTCTTTATTCTCTCCATTTTTTGTTTAACCTTATATCCCTGCATTGTGGTAGTCTGTTTTCCTCAAATCAGAAAAGTACCACAGATATAGTTGGAGTATCCTAGTGTGGAACCTCAATGACACATTTCCTTCTCAAGACATGATGGAAGTAGATTTAAAAGAATACAGCAACCAGACATGATGGGGCAGTCCTGTAATCCCAGCACTAGGGAGGCTGAGGCAGGAAAATCACTGTGAGTTACAGACCAGACTGAACTGATAATGAGACCCTGTCTCAAAAAAACAAAATAAAAAAAAAAACAAGAAAACAAAACAAACAAAAAGAGAATATTAGACAGGCATATTAGTCTTTATAAAGTGAGGTAATGGTTTGATCAAGAAAAAAATTCTAATTAGTTGATTAGTATATCATGGGCATATAGCTGATTATGCTTGTGTGCATAGTAGAAACACACAGTTGAAATAATCAGGACTATGTGAAAAAATAGAGTGATTATTCACAAACATGTTAAAAATAAAATTTTGAACCACACATTTTACCACAGATTCATCAACTGATCATAGAATGTTGGTATCATGAGGCCTAAAGAGTTTATTTTAATATGTGACATGAATACTAATAGTGAAATGAAAGATTATATTAGATTATATATAAGTAATATTGTCTAATAGAATTTATTTATTTTATGGTAACCTACTATTATGGTTTATATATTGTGTCAACTTGTGAAGTTTATGCCAGGGATTTAGCTCAGTGGTGTAAGTGCCTGCCTAGCAAGCGGAGGTTGTGAGTTGGATCCCTGGTAATGGAAAAAAAAAGCTAGAAACACCACTGCTGGAGGTTTAGTTCATTGTTATAAGAGCCTGCCTGGCAAGTGTGAGGTCATAATTTCAAGGCCCTTGTACCAAAAAAAAAAAAAATCAACTTGTGAAGTTTAGAATCCTAATCAAATAACTCAGCAGCTGCACATCCTGGGCGTAGAGGGCAAATCATTACCATTCTAAGATATTGTTCATCGTGTCAATTTGAGAAGGTAAGAAATTTAACCAAATGATTCATCAGTGGGCCGAGGTCCTTAGTTTGTAACATCCTCAGCCTGTGTAAGAGGAGGGCATGAATATGGTGCCAGTGTAACACCCACCCCAGGGGAATTGCTTGCATACAATAAAAGGCAAATTAGGAATTACTGATTGCTGGTTCTTTGGAGGAGCTCCAGTCTTGGTCTTCAGCTTGAAGGTCATCTCCTGGCTTCTGACAAATACTGTTCAGTTTCAATCTGGGACTCTTCAGCCTTCATGATATACTCTTCAGCCTTCTGTTGTGGATTCTTTAGCCTTCCATCGCAGACCCATCGACCTCCTCATACAGACTTGCACAGGATACTGCTGTAAGCTCCAGCCTTTGGAATGGACCCTTCAGTCTCCAGTGTACAGATGCCTTCTGCATGCTCCCCCATCCAACTTTGTGGCTGATCATTGTAAGCCAATCTTGAAATTTCTTACACATTTTTATATCATATGTTATATCTTTTTCTCTAGTAAACCTTGACTGATACACCTACTAACAATGAAAAGTAAAACTGGCTTCCATTTACAATTGAGGTATTTTAATGACATTTGCTTAGTAAAATCATATTACTTAAAGAAGTATATCAAGTGAGTAATGGTAAAGATAGTGTTCAGATATGATTTAAATCATGAAAGTGAAACATAAATAGCTGAACTTTAGCAAAACCAGAATGAATCTAATTTTCTACCCAATTCAAAAGTTCCTTTATTAAATACCTTGATTTAGAGGACAGTGTGACACCCAAATCCAGAAACAAAAAAACAAATTCTATCCTCTTCCTGTAGCCACGGCAGTACCTTAATAAAACACGGCATTTTTCCATTGAACATAGGAAAAATCTTGCACCTTTCTCCCTTGAATCTTCTGAAATCTGAAAGGAGCCCTTTTGTGGCTCCATTGCTGTTGTTATTCTAGGGATTGAATCTATGGCCGTAACACTGAGCCAAATTTTTTTTTTCTTATATTAAGACAAGATCTCCGTAAATTGCTACATTCCCTAGGCTGGGGAGGAGGGACTTTTCAGAGGTGGCTGAATCTAGGTTGTTTGATGCTGAGAGTAAGGGTGTCCCATGCTGAATATGTATGGCATTAATCAATAGGCTTAAAGTCTATATAGAATATAAAGGGACAGAAAAAAGCTGTTGCTGCTCATGGCTCACTGCCTGCTGCCTGCTGCCTGCTGACTGCAATATATGGCAGAGATTACTTCTCTGTGATTCCTCTTTGCCATGTCACCTTGCTTTGAAGCAAGTCAACTATAAACTGACCCCTCTACAAATTGTGAGCTAAATAATCCTTTCTTCCCTTAATTTGTGGGTGTCAGATATTTTGCCTCAGCAATAAGAAAAATATCTAAGACAGATTTTGATATTGAGAGTGCGACTGTTTCTATGACATAACCTGATCACATGGTTTTGGAGCCTTTGGAACCAACTTTTGGAAATATTTTGGAAAGGTGGTCTATTTTCCTGCCACAGACTTCCAGTGTACTGGATTATAGTTGTATATGATCAAGACCAGCTAATTCTGGCTTTTATAACACTGTGACATACCTCATTCAAAGAGCTCACTACATTGTAATGCACTTACCTTTTTATGTGTCAGTCTTACCTATCTGACTATTAGATATTTATGAGTAGGATAGTAATCATTAATAATTGAATCATCTTTATGCTTTCCACTCTGTGGCTAGGACCAGGTAAATAATAAGTATGCAAAAATAATTTGAATGAGATAATTTAGAGATACAAGTACTGAAGGGTATTCATATTGGCTTCCCTAACTTACTAACTATCTGACATTTTACAAGTTATGTAACCTATATGGGCTTCGGTTCAGTTGCCTATAAAGTGGAAATTATCACAGTAGTTATTACAAAGAACATTGTAGTTTGGTAATTTTTTGTGAATGTGTATGCTGTATGAGTGATTGAACCCAGGACCTTTACACTGAGCTATATCACCAGGATATGTTTTTAAAAATCACTTTTTATTTTAAAAAAGTAAAACAAAATTTTATAGTGAAATAATAGGAGAGGTGGCAGGAGAACTTCCTGCGATGAGTGGCATGAGCTAAAGGTCTGCACAGCAAGTCTAGCCATGCAAGATCAGCACCTCCCTCAGAACCTGATAGTTTCCTGCCCAGCATTCTCAAACACCTGGGGACCTGTGATAGGTTGCTGGAGTTCTGGTTGGACCTTGCCCAGTGACCCCAAGTGGCAGAGGAACTGCCTGCACTGAGAAGCACAAGAAAAAGCTCAGCACAGCAAACTGCACCAAGCCATGCAAGCTTGGCACCTCATTTGGAACTTGGAAGGGACCCAAACAGCGACCCCAGACAGCTGGGCAGCTTTGATAGGCCATGTAACATGAGCTAATACCCTGCAAAGCATACTCCATCTAGCTGTTCAGCATTGGTACACCACTCAGAACCTGGTAGAGTCCTGCCCAGCAATTTCAAGCAACTGGTGAGCTTCAGAGTACCACATGGGGTGTGCTCAAGGTCTGCCTAGTGTACTTCCCACATTTAAGGAGACTTCAAGTGCCACCTAGTGAGGCTGCCTAGTGACCCAAATCAACTGGGGAAACTCCCTGCAGACACCCTCAACCCAAGAAAAAACTGAGACCTTGCGTTTAGATTCCCTAGGACAACACAGGAAAATGACAAAATAAAAGAGCAAAATCTCAAACCTCCATCCCACCCCAAACAAGCCTAGGAGACATGGACACAGAAGAAAATGTAAGCCATTGACCTGAAAATTCTGAAATGAGAGCACCAAAAGTAAAGAAACTACTCCATAAAGCTGTAAAGGAAATCAGATGAGAAATAATCTCCCAGGTAAAAGAGGAAATGATAAGCATAATAAAAGAAATGATGAACACATCTAAATGTCATAGATAAAAAAAATTGGACAGTAATCCAAAAAGATGGAAATCTTGAATGAACAATATAAGAAAAAAATAGAATGCATGAGACACATTCAAAGAGATATCAAGGAAATCAAAAATTCCATCAAAAGTGGCAATAGTGCCTCAATGAAAGCGAAGATAGACTTTCAGGCCTCAAAAACTAGATCAAAGCTAGTGAAAAGGAAAGGAAAGATCTTTTTAAAAATAACGAGGAATCAGGAAATAACTATTCAACAGTTATAAGATGATGCAAACAAAAATAATAAAAGATTGATAGGTATAAAAGAAAAAGGTGAAAATACAAATGATACAAAAAGACTGTTAAAAGCAGTAATAGCCTAAAATTTCTAAAACATGGAAAAGGAGACTGACATACTGATAAGTGAAGTATATTAAACTACAAACAGCAATAACCAAAATAAATCTACACCCAGACGTACAATAATATCTCAGACATTCAACATAAGAACAAAATAATAAAAGCTGTGAGAGAAAAGAGACAGATGACTAATTTTAAAAAGTCCATCACAATCACAGCAGACTTCTCAACACAAGCAGTGAAATCAAGAAGAGCAGGGAGTGAAGTATTTCAGATCCTAAAGGAAAAATGTCTTTCAACCCAGATCAGTCTACTCTGCAAAATTGTCCTTCAAAATTGATGGATAATCAGATACTTCCATGATAAAGAACAGCTGAAGAACTTCATGACCACCAAAACAATCCTTCAAAGAATACCAAAAGATATTTTAGATAAGACATAAAAATAACTATGACTTTAAGAACACAAACAGAGTAAAACTACTAATCAAGGCAAACAAACAGAGGAGAAAGGTAAAGAACCAACAACAAAAAGATTATATGACAAAAATGAACCAATATATATCACTTATAACCATTAATGTAAATGGCCTCAATTCATCAATTAAAAGAAACAGACTGGCATGATGGATAGAGAAAAAATTTCCAACCAAATGCCATATACAAGAAACCCATCTAACCCAAAAGGAAGTTCATAGGTTGAAATCAAAGGATAAAAAACAACACTTCATGTAACAGGACCTGACCAAAAAGCAAGGATTGAAATTCTTTAGTAGCTCATAAACATGCTTAAGTAAATGCAGAATAATCAAAATTATCCCATGCATATTATCTGATCATACAGCCATGAAACTAGCAATTAATGACAAAATAAACTGCAAAAACTCCATAAGTGCATGGAAATAAAATAATACACTCCTGAACAATTGATGGGTCATAGAGGAAATTAAAGAAGAAATTAAACAATATCTACAAGAAAACACAAGTAAAATACAATTAACCAAAACCTGTGGGATGCAATGAAAGCAGGCCTAAGAGGAAAATTTATTGTAGTGAATTAGCACATCAGGAAAATAGAACTAACACAAACAACCTGATGCTATACCTCAAACATGTAGAAAAAGAAGACCAAGTCAAGCCCAAAGTCCAAAGAAGGGATGAAGTTATAAAGATCAGAGCAGAAATCAATGCAATAGAGACAAAGAAAACAGTACAAAGAGCTGAGGAATCAAAGAGTTGGTCCTTTGAAAGAATAAATAAAATTGATAAGACCTGAGGCAACTGCATGGTTTATGTCTTTGGCCCCCAGACCTCATGCGTTTGCGTTATGCATTTGTGATTGGTTCATTGTCTACTGCTTAGATTGATGGTATCAGTACTACACCCACATAGGGGTGGAGCCTACAAGTTAATGGCAGGAAGAAAGTGTGGCTCTTTCTTGATGTTTCCCTTGCTGTTTGCAGCCATCATGAACTGCAGCCCCGCCATACCAGCCTGCCTTGGAGCCAACTGAGTATGGACTGAAACCTCCAAAAACTGTAAGAAATAAACCTTTCCTTTCCCAACTTTGGTCATCAGGTATTTTGTCTCAGCGACAAGTAAAAAGTAACTAAGACAGCAACTTTATTAAAAAATGGAAAGAAAACCTTAAATTCATGAAATAAGGAATGAAAAGAGTGAAATCACTACATACCCCATGGAAACACAGAACATCATAAATACCTACTTTAAAAAGCATTACTCTCATAGGATTGATAACACAGAAGAAATAAACAGATTCCAAAATACATATAAATTACCAAAGTTGTGTCAAGAAAATGTTAAACTGCTGAATAACCCAATTTTAATTAATGAAATTCAAAATGCGACTAGAACATTAGCAACAAAGGAAAGCACAGGTCCTGATGGATTCAAAGCTGAATTCTACAAGAAATTCAATAAAAATTAATGCTAACACTTCTCAAATTCTTCAATGAAATTGAAAGGGAAGCAGTTCTTCCCAACTCATTCCTGGAAGCCAGTATTACCCTAGATACTAAACCAGAGAAAGACCCAATGAGAAAAGCAAACAAATACCTAAACCAGAGAAAGACCCAATGAGAAAAGCAAACAAAAAATCAGTCTCCCAATGAACATAGATGCAAATACTGGCAAATAAAACTCAGCAAGTCATCAAGAAGATTATAAACCACAATCAACTGGGACTCATCCCAGGATTACAGGGGTGTTTCAACATATGCAAATCAATAAATGTAACTCATCATGTTAATAGAGCTAAAGATAAGAATCACATGATTACTTCAATAGATGCATAGAAAGCTTTTGATAAAGTCCAACACTTGTTCATGATAAGAACCCTAAGGAAAGTTGTAAGAGATGGTTCTTACCTTAATCTGATAAAAGCCATCTATGACAAACAGCCAGCATCAGAAAAGGATGTCCATTGTCACCACTCCTATTCAATACAATGCCAGAAACATTAGCCTGAACAATTAGACTAGAGAGAAAAATAAAAGGAATAAGGATAGAAAAACAAGAATTTGAATTATCATTATTTGCAGATGACATAATATTCTACATAAAAGATCCCCAAAATTCCATTGAAAGACATCTAGATGTAATAACCAAATTCAATAATGTAGTTGGATACAAAGTCAACACTCAAAAATTGATAGCATTTCTGTACACAAACAGAAAACTCACTGAAAGACAAATAAGAGAACCTGCGCCATTCACAGTACAATCCAAAAAAATGAAGTACTTAGGAATCAATTTAACAAAGAAAGTAAATGATCTATGTAGTAAAAATTATGATATTCTGAAAAAAGAAATCAGAGGATCTTGAAAATGAAATTATATTCCCTGTTAATGGATAGCAAGAACAAACAGTGTGAAAATGGTCATTCTCCCAAAATGGTATACAGATTTAATGCAATTCCAAAAAAATACCATTAGCATACCAAAAAGATCTAAAGAAATCATTCCTAAAATTTATCTGGAATCAAAAGAGACCTAGAATAGCAAAGGCAATTTTAGCCAACAATGGCAAGGCAGGAAGGATCACAATCCTTAACTTTGAATTTACACTGCAAAGCTACTGTGACAAAATCAGCAGGATACTGGAATAGAAACAGCCCTGAAGATCAGTGGAATAGATTAGAAGATAGGACCACAACTACAAACACTAAACCATTTATCTTTGACAAAGGGTCCAAACATGTTCACTGGAAGAAAGATAGCCTCTTTAAAAAGTTGTGTTGGGGGGCTGGGGATTTAGCTTAGCGGCATAAGTGCCTGCCTTGCAAGCAGGCAGTCGTGAGTTCAATCCCTGGTACCGATAAAAACAAAAAAGACCAAAAAAAAAAAAAAGTTGTGTTGGGAAAACTGGCTTTCTACTTGCCAAAACTTAAAACTAGACCCACACCTATCACAATGTACTAGACTAAAGTCAAAATGGATCAATGATGTAAGTACTAAAACAGAAACATTTAATCTGATGGAGCACACAGTAGGTAGAAATCATGAAGACATAGATGTAGGCAGAGAATTAATGAAAATTATCAAATTGCATGGAAATAATTCCCAGAATCAATAACTGGGATCTCATCTTATTAAAAAGATTTTCCATGTCAAAAGGTATCTCCAACAAAGTGAAAAGAAATTCCATGAAATGGCAAAAAATCTTAGTCAACTGTCCCTCAGACAAAGGATTTCTATATAAAACAGATAAAGAATTTTTAAAAATTCAGACCCTCCAAATTCAAAGATACAATTCATAAATGGGTATCTGAGATGAATACATACTTCTCAGCTGAAGAAGTACAAAGGGACAAATAAATACATTATATAATGTTAAGCATCATTGGTCACTAGATAAATGCAAATTAAAACCACACTGAGAGGGGAATGGGGGGCATGGTGGATGGGTAGATAGCATGGTAAAGCACCTCTCTTACAACAACAACTCAGATGCTAGAATGTAACATCATGGAGAAGACCAGATGAAAGGACAGGGATTCTCACAATGTAGAAAGAAACTGAGGAAAAAGAATAGAATAGAATAGGAAAAAGAAAAAGTATAGAATAGAATAGAACAGAAAAGAAAAGAAAAAAGAAAGAGGACAGAAGGCTGGAGCTAGATGCTCTTTCACTGGAGCTGGTCCCATGCTGTGCTGGACACCTTGGAGTCGCTGAAGTCATGGTCACACTGAAATCGGGGGGTTGGTGAGCCCAAGGACCTTGGCAGGAGGATGTCCTTCAATGAAGAGCTAAACTGGTACAGAGACCTGCACTAACCTGTGGTGAGTGCTAGGAATTTGGTCCCATGAAGGGGGTGACCAGCTGGAAGACATATTGGAGTTGGGCAGGATGGACCTGAATCTGGAACCACAGTGGCCTCAGTTGACTGATTTTATTTGAATCTGGTATGTTTGATAGTATCAAGTCTAAGAATATAGTCAAGTACTCCAAAGATGACAAGATTTAATAGAATACCCATTCTGGTTTCGATTATCAACTGCTTTTGAAGTTCTATAATGTCTCCAATCTTTTGTTTTTATTAATATTGCCATGTACTGCTATGTTCAATTATAATATGCCTGATGATATAGACAATTATATTGAAAATAACAAAAGACATCATAGTAACTACTGTAGACACCTAGTATTGTGGTTTTATGTGTCATTGTTTCATGTTTTTCTAGAAATTTGTTTTGTTGTCTTATTTTAATTTGTTTTTCTTTCTAATATAGAAAAGATAGGTATACATGTAAAGAATCACACATGCGTAGAATTTCTAAACATTTTACCAGAATTGATTATATAATGCATGATATAATGAACAGATACTCCGAAGAAAAAGGGACACTAAGATACTGAGAGCTAATTCCATAGCATCATGATATAAACTCTAGCAATACTATTACTCTCTGTTCAGAGTGATATTCGTCTGTTTTCCTTTGTTTAATTTCAACATACATAAAGATATGGAAAGATATTTTGAATACAATGAGAGACATTATGGCAGCCATTGTTGACTTCCTATTATCCAGTCTTGAAGACCTAAAATGTCTTCATCATCCTGTTCTGATCAGTTTAATATTACTATGTTTTTTGGTCATTTTCCTTTTTATCGGTACTGGGGATCAAACTCACGACTGCCTGCTTGTAAGGCAGGTGCTTATGCCGCTGAGCTAAATCCCCAGCCCCAGTTTAATATTATTTTATTTGGTACAAATTCACTGTGTGTGAAGATACAGACAACTGTTTAGAAGAAAACAAGAGATAATATGATAGACAGTGAAGCTCTCCAGTGGTCTTGCTTTGAAATCTGTGTTTCTTAAATTTTTTTGTTATGGTGTTTTGGTTTTTTTGTTATGTTTAATTTTACCCTCTTTAAAATTAAAAAAAAGCACACTGAGATTACATCTAACTCCAGAAAAAATGGCCAGGATCAAGAAAATCACCAATAACAAATACTGGAAAGGCTGTGCTGAAAAATGAACCTTTTTGCACTGTTGGGTAGACTGGAGTGTAGACTGGTGCAATCACTGTGGAAATCAGTCTGAAATCGCCTCCAAATTCTGAGATTAGAAGTCCCATTTGATCCAGCTAGTCCACTTCTGCACATATTCTCAGAAGAATTGGAAATATCATACCACAGTGATATATGTGCAACTATATTCATAGCAGCACAATGTATAATAGCCAAATCTTGGAAACAACCTAGATACCCATCACAGGAGGAATAGATATAAATGATGTGGTATTTTTATACAATGGAGTACTACTCAGCTATAAAGAAAGATCATATTGAAGCTTTTATAAGTAAATGAATACAACTTGAGACCATAGTCATAAGTGAAATAAATCAAACTCACTTGTGTAAATACCATATTGTATCCCTAGTGTAAAAAACTGAAAGTATAAGAAAGATCCAAAATCTTCAATAAATACTGTGAAAGGGTAAGAAACTGCTCAATAGGGAAAAATAAATCACATAGGATAAGGGAGAAAAGAACATGGGAAAAGAAAAAGATACAAATTTGTATATATACTCTTAAGATAGCTAAGATGATTGTTCTAATTCTATTAGTTATTGCAATAAAGCAGTCAACATTCATAGGATTGGATCAATTTTAAATGTTTATATCTGGTGATCTGAGTAACTCTTTTGAAGATAGCTATGCAAAATGAAAACCTTAGTTATGTTCCTACCACCTTGTTTTGAAAGTCTATGTGTCATTGTTTTAAGCTTTTTGTTATTGTTACTTATTTGTCTAATTTGTTTCTTGTTTTTCTTTTGTTTTCTTATTTGGGGTACCAGATATTGAACTCAAGACCAGTGCACTTGCAAGGCAAGCACTTGTGCCACTGAGCTAAATCCATGGCCCTTGTTTCTTGTTTTTCTTGTATTTTGTTTTGCTTTGTTTTCTGTCTAATACAGAAGGGATAGATATACATGTACAGGCTTACACATGCCAAGAACTTCTCCTAAGGAGTTTACAAGAATTGATTTTATTACTTGCCATGGTATAAACAGCTATTTCCAAGAAAATGAGGCATTATGGTAGACATTGCTTCTTTCCTATCATCTTGTTTAGAAGTCCAATAATGCTTTTATGCTTTGTTTTGATTGGTTTTATTCTGTTTTCTATTATCTGATATCAATATGTGTGACGGTATGGATAGGTATTTTGAAAAGAACAAGAGACATGGTAGCTATGATTTATTTTCCTATTATTGGTTTTGAAGGCCAGTCATGCTTTCATTCTTTTGTTTTGATCAGTGTTATGACATTTTGTTTTGCTTGAATTCATTGTGTGCAAAAGATGGACAATTATTTTAAAGAAAACAAGAGAATATGGTAGCTACTTTTGATTTCCTATTGTCTTGTTCTGAAATCTTGTGTTGCTTACATTGCTTTGTTCTGATCTGCTTTGTTCCGTTTTGTTTTGCTTTATTCTCTTTAAAGTAAAAATACATTGAAATAATAGGAAAATAGCAATAGTTAACAAATGTCTTATTGTTGTATTTAAGTACTTACTCAGAGTACAAGATAGGGCATAAAATTTCTTCCATTGAGATTAGCACAAACTTTTCTTTTCAGTGAAATGAGTGAAACAACTATTTTAACTGCCTTGTGTTTTTCTTTCTCTTCTTTTTCCTTTTACCTCATCATTGCTAGTTTCCTTTTTCCTTTTGAAAAATTTAGTCCCTTTCCATAGTATTTATTGTGAATTTTGGACCATCTTTACTCTCAGCCTCTCACATAAAGGTGAAATTATTATGTTTACACATGTGAGTCTAATTTATTTCATTCATGAGTATGGTATCAGGTTACATCCATCTTATTACAAAACTTTGTCCATCAAAGAAAATCATCAGCAGAGTGAAAAGAAAGCCCAAAGAATGGGAAAAGTTTTAGCCAGCTTTCTCTCAGATAGCGTACTTATATCTAGAACATGTAAAGAATCAGAAAAATCATATCCCTCAAATTAAAAGATTCTATCCAAAATATTAAACCTGGATTTTCTTCATACAATTTCTACTTGTACCTGTATCTTCAAGATTTCTATCAATTTTCTCTTCTAATACATTTAGTTTTTCTGTTTTAATATTAAGGTCTTTGACACATTTCAATTTTAGTTTAATGTATGGTAATAAAAAGGTTTTAATTTTAGTCTTCAGCATGTAGAAAGCCAGTTTTTCCAACACCACTTATTAAAGAGGCTATCTTTCTTCTACTGAATGTGTTTGATTCCTTTGTTAAAGATAAGGTAACCAAGTGTGCTTTCAATTGTGTCTACATCTTGTAATGTGTTCTACTGATCCCTAAGTTTGAGTTTTAGTTTGTTTTTCTTTTTTTCCCAATGCCATACTTATCTTATCACAGTAATTTTGTACTATAATTTCCTCTCTTTTTTTTTTTTTTGGTACTTGGGATTGAACTCATGACCTTGTGCTTGCCAGGCAAGTGCTTACACCACTGAGCCAGATCCCCAGCCATGTAGTATAATTTAAATCAGTGATTGTGATGCCCCTCCCTTGTCTTTGTTGCTCAGAATTGCATTTACTATTGAAGGTCCCTTCTGGTTCCAAATGAATTTTAGGAATATTTTCTTTAGTTCTGTGAGGTATGCTAATGCTATTTTCACTGAGATGGTGATAAATCTGCATAACAATTTTGGAGTACAATCATTTCTACTATGTTTGTTCTTCCTAACCATAAACAAGGAATATATTTACATTTTCTGAATTTCTATTCCATCTCCTTTTTCAGAGTACAATAATTTTAAATGCTTAGATCTTTTACTTCCTTCATTTGATTAATTCCTAAGTGTTTTATTTTTTGGATGCCCAAATCCAAAGACCCAATTCAATAATGGGCATCTGAAATGAATACACACTTCTCAGATGAACAAATAAAAACAGTGAATAAATATATAACAATGTTCAGCTTTATTGATCATCTGAATGATACAAAGAATACACTGGGATTTCATCTCACTCCAGAAAGAATGACAGTCATCAAGAAATCAGTGCTTTGCAAATGCTGGAGTGACTGTAAGGGAAAAGAAACACTTCTTCACTGCTGATGGAAAAGTAGAGTGGTACAATCCTTGGGACAATCAGTTTTGAGATCCTTCAAAAACCTAGAATTAGTGGTCCTGTTCAACCAATCTATTCCTATTCTGGGTATCTTCCCAGAAGATTTAAAAACATCATAGTGCAGCAATATATCTTCACCCATATTTATACCAGCACAATTTGTAATAGGTAAATCTTGAAAATGAACCAAGTGCCCATCAACCAATAAATAGATATAAAAGTGGTATTTTTTAAAATGGATTACTACTCACTCATAAAGAAGGATAATCTTGAGTCTTTTGTAAGTTAATGGATACAGTTAGAGACCCTACTCATAAGTGAAATAAATCAGACACATGATGTGTAAACATCATTCTGTCTCTCTTAAAGAAAATAAGGACCAAAATATACAATAGATATTTTGGAATGGCAAGAAATTGTTCAAAAGGAAACAGGAACTAGGATGGGGAGAAAGGGAAAGAAAGCAAGGGCAAAGAAAAAAATATGCAAGATAGTAATACCATTGGTTTCTTTTAGTTAACTGAAAAGGTCTATGCTATTATTTCTGGAAGAAATTTTATGGCCATGTTTTGTACTCTAACTACTTTACAGGTAACAATAAGCAGTGTTTTAACTACAGTTAATCTCTTATTATTTTGCTGTGAAAATTTCTTTTGTTTGTTCCTTAAAAATAAACCTGGGCAAGGATGCCATTGTATTGCTAATATAATGAGAACAGGGTTTTGTACCACATTGCTTACTAGATAAATGTGAATATCAGATAGGTTGAGGAGGGTGCCAATAAGGCCTCCCCAATCTGGAGGAAATTAAGGGGGTCTGTGGGGCACCCAGAGACACAGTAGGATCCCAGCTGAGACAAACACTATAAACAGGGAGATCTGGTGACTCTGAACAACCTGAAGACATAACAACACCAGGAACAAGGGGTTGATTTCCATCAGTACTCCTAGGCTTGTCAGCCTGGGAGGAATATAGGACTCTCCTAACAGGCCCTGCATGGGGAATTCAGGTGACTGGCCCACCTCTTCAATGTGGGACCCAGGAATTGGACAAACATCAACCTTACAGTAGAACCCCAAGATACACACTACCAATGGTTGGCACTAGTGGTTTTGAATGACCAAAATAAACCTGAAAGTTGGAAAGTGACAAAACAAAAAGCAAAATGCAATCCCAAACATCTAGTCCACCAGCAGAAGTACAACAGACATTGAAATAGAGGGCTTTAAAAGTAAAATACTGGAAATCTCTGAAAAGATGGCAAGTGAAATAAGGCCATAGCAGAAATCAAATTTGAAGTAATCTCTTATGTAAAGACAAAAATAACAACCTTAGTAAAGGAGTTGCTCAGGGCAGCCAAAGAAGAAATAGATAAAAAAGACAGGAGCATGGGAAATTGAGTAAAACCTTGAATGAACAATGTAGGAAGAAAGCAGAATTCATGAAACAAACTCAAAGAGACATCCAAGAAACATAAAATTCTGTTGAAAGTTGGTAACGCCATTTAAATGAAGCTGAGCAT